AGAAATGAGACAGCAGAGCACAAGACAGCATTTTATGTGCTAGAAAGAACCTAGGCCATGAGGCCCTCCAGTCCAGGACATGTAAACCACAGTCCTGGAAACTCAGTAGCTTGACCAACCATTTCTTGAGAATTCTCTGTGAGAATTATCTGATAAGTCATGTTGGATAGGGCACCTCAACCTTTTCTTTAAAGAACTTTACAAATAGCCATACCAAAAAAAAAAAAAAAAAAAAAGGCAGGGGCAGGGGGGACCAGCAGATGGTATAATAGTTATTTTGCTGGACTCCCACATAGTCAACCGCAGTTTGAGTCTGAAACCTGGTGACTTAAAACTCATGCCGGGTGTATGTGTGAGAGTGCCCAAAAATCTCAAGAGGGGAATGAAGGAGAAGGGGTTGTGACATGGCCATCTCCCCTGGGTGGCGATTTCTCGTTTTCTGTCTTTCTGTCTTTCTCTGTCCTGGCAAGCACACGTGCCCTACAGCAAAAACCTCTCCAAAAAAATTGTTTTAATATTTATAGAAAAAGAAAATTTAACCTCATATGACTCAGATATAAGAAACAGTCCTCCTCTACCCCATAATACAGCTCCATTTATTGCAAAATGAGAAGAATTCAAGCAAAACTGGCTGGGAGTAAGCCTCCTCTTCAATGGCGCCATTGTCATTCCTGTTCTGAAACCTGCCAGGTCCCCTTGGTTCGGAGATAAGCCCTCTGGACCAGAAGAAGTTAAATGTCATGGTGTGACTAAGCATTCCACCCATCTGGTGCCTACGTGGGGAGTGTAATCAGTGCTGACAACTAGAATAAGAACACGTTTTTATGTATAAGGGAACTGTCCTTTCCTTTGGCTTGAGGGACAGTCCTTCTCCTTCCTACCTCTTGGCAAATGCAGTGGTGAAGTGTACTCATCTGGCACAGCGATTCTCTTAAAATCACAGATGAGGTTGGGTTGGCCAAAAAGTTCACTAAATGTCATTAAATGGTGAGTTTGTATCAAGGAGATGAATAAGAAAACAGATGGTTAGAAGGTAACCTAAAGGCATGAGACTGAGTTACAAGAATTTGGAAGTGCATAGGATGTGTAAGAGGACAGTCTCTGTCTCCAAAAAGCATGTATCTAACAACCCTTCCCTTTCGGTCCTCCAGAATTCCTCCTACCTCGATCGCCCTGATGCAGACCTGCCACTTTGTTTTGAACAAACTGTCCTGGTATGGATCCCCTTGGTCTTCCTTTGGCTCCTGGCCCCTTGGCAGCTTTTCCACGTGTATAGATCCAGAACCAAGAGATCTTCTATAACCACAGTTTACCTTGTGAAACAGGTACAGTATAATTCCACTGAGTTCAAACTCAGACTTCTCAGTGTACAATAGACACGCCTTCTTGGTGGTTAGTGTCCTCTTCCCCGTTTTAAACTAAGTTTTCCAGGTCCTGCTGTCTCAAGTGGAGACAGGCTTCAGGTGTCCCTCTCTCCATTTGCCCTGTGCTTCACTGGCTCCTTGACAGTGACTCTAAATTCTTAATTAGAATAGCGACTTTTAATTCTTACGGCCCTTAGGCCCTCCCAAACACCAATGATAAGTAATTGATTAGTCTAACTGTTATATTTTCAGTGTTTGAGAAGTGAACACTGGATCATAGGCCTTTAAGCTGTGCCAAGAAATCGAATGACTAAAATTCAGTTGGGATCTACCACAAGGTGAAAATACCGTATGTCATGTGCCCTTTGCACCATTTGGGCCATCTAATCATCGCTCATCTCCCAAAATTCGGATGTGAAATAGGGATTGTATTTTTCCAGAGTAGCCCATGAGTTAGGCTGGCCTCTTACAGAGAGGGAGGAGGGGCTGTGGGCAGGATGACAAGCTTGAGTATGGAAATAAGGGAAAGGAAAGGTTGAGGGGCGGAGTCCTCAGCCAGCTCGTTAACTCATTAACTCGCTGAGGAAGGAGTTACAAGACTCCATAGGTTCGTAGTCCACCATCAATGTTTTTTCTTGTCTTTTTTTTTTTTTTTTTGGAGAGGTTTTTTTTTTTCTATAGGGCGCGCGCGCTCGCCAAAAAGACAGAGAGACAGAAAGTGAGAAATCACCCCCCAGGGGGGATGGCCACGCCACATTCCCCTTCTCCTCCATTCTCCTCTCGGGATCTTGGGCACGCACGCACACGCGCCCGGCGTGAGTTTTAAGCCACCGGGTCCAGGATGCGAACCGCGGTCAACTACGTGGGAGTCCAGCGACATAGCCATTACACTAACTGCTGGTTCCCATCTATGTTTTTTCTATCTGTCCTGCTTTCTAAAGAGAATTTTTAAAAGACAAATTATATTCCATTGTTCTATAAGCGCACATACTCGAAGACTTCAGGTTACGTGGACTCTAAAAGGGCAGAAAGGGCTTGGCTAAAGGAAGGGGGGTTCTTGGAATTCAGAGGAGGGAGGGACTGGAAGTGGGGCTGTTGGACTGTGGGTGGGAGAGAACAGCTTGGGTCACTGCCTCCCTTGTTGATCTAGGTGGTGAGGGCTCAATCTGGTACGCACGGAGCACGCAGGCTAAACTCCACCTCGGCTGAAGGCAGGTGCTACACGCACTCTAAGAGTCAAGAGTGTTGGACTCTGACAGTCAAACCACACACTTCAGTACCTTGCAAATGAGTCAGATCTTTGGGTTAGCGTCCTTTTCATTAGGGGCAGCTTTCTGGAACTTCTTTTTTTTTTGGAGAGGTTTTTGCTATAGGGCACGTGCGCTTGCCAGAGAGATAGAGACAGAGAGACAGAAAGCGAGAAATCACCCCCCAGGGGGATGGCCATGCTGTAATCTCTTCTCCATTCTCCTCTCGGGATCTGGGGCACACATGCACATGTGCCCAGCGTGGTCGGCTACACGGGAGTCCAGTGACATAGCCATTACTCTAACTGCTGGTCCCTGGAGCTTCTAAAAAGAGGCGGCATGATGAGCAAACAAGTATGTCATTCGTAAAAAAGCTAAATGTAAAAAAAAAAAAAAACAAAAAAACTTTTGGGACCAGCAGTTAGTGTAATGGCTATGTCGCTGGACTTTCATGTAGTCGACTGCGGTTCGAGTCCTGGACCCGGTGGCTTAAACTTACGCTGGGCATGTGTGCGTGCGTGTCCAGGATTCCAAGAGGAGAATGGAGGAGAAGGGATTGTGGCGTGGCCATTCACCCTGGGAGGCAATTTCTCTCTTTCTGTCTCTCTGTCTCTCTCTGTCTTTCTGGCAAGTGTGCATGCGCTATAGCAAAAACCTCGTAAAAAAAAAAAAAAGAAAAAAGAACTTTTTATTGAGCTATAATTTACATATCATATCATCCTCCATTTAAATATAATTCAGGGACCAGCCCGTAGAGCAATGGTTAAGCACAGCGTGTCTGGAGCCAGATTCCACATGGCTGACTAAGGTCTGAGTCCCAGACCCAAAGGCTTGAACAATATGCTGGGTGTTCTGTGCATGAATGCTCAAGATCTTAGAGGATGGAGAAATAGAAGAAAAAATATTGCGGTGTGATATGTCCCACTGTGAGGTGTTTTTTGTTTGTTTTTTCCTCCCCGTTCTCTGCTGAGCAGAGAGAGGTGCCCTTTGGCAATTCAAGAACAATAAATAGATATAGTTTTAAAGTGTACTTACAAATATGAGCAATAATCACCATAGGCCATTTTAGAACATTTTCATTTCTTAGAAAAAATCTTTTAACTCTTATTTTTTTTTTTTTTAGCTCCTGTCTCTCCAGCCCCTTAGCACTGAGCAACCTCTAATCTACCTTCTATTTCCATAGTTTCCTATTCTAGGCGGTTCATCTGAATGGAATCATGCGGTATGCAGTCTCTTATGACTGGCCTCTTTCCTTAGCATCATGTTTTCGAGGTTTACCTATGTTGAAGTTCGTTCATTTTTACATCTGAATATTATTCCATTGTATGGATATATGATCCTCCAATTTTTACAAACACAAATCTCTACAAGGAAAAGCAATGTATTCGCCTTTTTTTTTTTTTTTTGAGAGGTTTTTGCCATAGAGCACATGCGCTCGCCAGACAGAGAGCTAGAAAGCGAGAAATCGCCCCCCAGGGGGTATGGCCATGCCACAATCCCTACTCCTCCATTCTCCTCTCGGGATCTTGGGCACGCACGCACACGCGCCCGGCATGAGTTTAAGTCACCGGGTCTGGGACTCTAACTGCAGTCGACCACATGGGAGTCCAGTGACATAGCCATTATGCCAATTGCTGGTCCCTGTGTTAGCTTTTTTTCCCTCCCTCTGCAGTTAACGATCTACCTATCGCCACTCACACAGTCTCAGGTCTCATTTATGATGTACATTTTACTTTTCTGTCCTCTACTGCAAAGGTGACAGGCACTGAGTAGCTCCTTAAACATTTCAAAGTAATTGTTCTCTGTTTTGAAATAGTTGGAAGTATGTGACATAGCCATTATGCCAATTGCTGGTCCCTGTGTTAGCTTTTTTTCCCTCCCTCTGCAGTTAACGATCTACCTATCGTCACTCACACAGTCTTGGGTCTCATTTATGATGTACATTTTACTTTTCTGTCCTCTACTGCAAAGGTGACAGGCACGGAGTAGCTCCTTAAACATTTCAACGTAATCGTTCTCTGTTTTGAAATAGTTGGAAGTATAATTCCTCATAAAGTAAAATAAGTCTCTTCCATGAGAACCTTCTTGCTCAGTCCTCCATTTCTCTTGATTTCTCCGCTTCCCTTTCTTCCTCGGCCTTTTGGTAGTTTTTTCCTCCTGGCGCTCCTGAATTGTTACAGCTGTTGTAGTTTGGTCGGCAGTGAGTTTACCTCATCTGCACTGAGTTAACTTGCTTGGCCAAACTCATAAGTGACTCCATAGGGTAGTTTCTTTCTTTTCTTTTCTTTCTTTCTTTCTTTCTTTTTTTTTTTTTAATGGATCTTGCCACAGGGCATGTGTGCTCACCAGAGAGAAACAGGGAGAAATCACCTCCCAGAAGGGATGGCCACACTGCAATCTCTTCTCCTCTGTCCTCCTCCTGGGGTTTTGGGTATGCACAAAATCACACACCCAGAGTGGTTTTCAGTCCATTGTATCTTCTACTCCAGCCACTGTTGTCCATGTGGGAGTCCAGCACCTTCAGTACTATGCTACCTGCTGGCCCGAACAGGTTGGTTCAAAAGGTACATCCTTAGAGAAGGACACAGAACATATTCGGTAATTGAGTAAATTGAATTTATTTTAGTTTTTAAAGAATTATTCATTTATTACTATTATTATTATTTTAATGTGAACAGCAAGGGAGAGGGAAAAATGAGAGAGCAAGCCACCAGATCCAGGACTCAAGCGGCAATAGGCCATGTGGGAGTCCAGTGCCTTAACCACCATGCCATCTGCTGACCCCTAGTGAACTGAACTTAAAAAGGAATGAATCCCAGGTGCGTGTGAGTGCGTGCCCAAGATCTCAAGAGGAGAATGGAGGAGAAGATTGCCGTGTGGTCATCCCTGCTGGGGGTGATTTCTCGCTTTCTGTCTCTTTGTCTCTCTCTGTCTGGCGAGCACATGCGTCCTATAGCAAAAACCTCTCAGCAGACCAGCAATTAGCATAATGGCTATGTCACTGGACTCCCATGTAGTCGAACGCGGTTCGAATCCTGGACCCAATGGCTTAAACTCACGCCAGGCGCGTGTGCGTGTGTGCCCAAGATCCCAAGAGGAGAATGGAGGAGAAGGGATTGCGGCGTGACCATCCCCCCTGGCTCACTTTCTGTTTCTTTGTCTGTCTCTTTCTGGTGAGCGCACGTACCCTATAGCAAAAACCTCTCCAAAAAAACCCAAAAACCAAAACCAAAACCAAAATCTCGGGACCAGCAGTTAGTGTAATGGCTATGTCGCTGGACTCCCATGTGGTCGACCGTAGTTCGAGTCCTGGACCTGGTACCCTGTTGCTTAAACTCATGCCAGGTGCGTGTGCGTGCGTGCCCAAGATCCTGAGAGGAGAATGGAGGAGAAGGGATTGCGGCGTGACCATCCCCCATCACTGGGGGGTGATTTCTCACGTTCTGTCTCTCTGTCTCTCTCTGTCCTTCTGGAGAGGGCACGCTCCCTATAGCAAAAACCTCGCCAAAAAAAAAAAAACTCTCAAAAAACCCATAAATGTGAATGAATGCCACCAGGTGGCTCGGTGGTTTTGAGCACTGGACTCCCACGTGGCTGACCACTGTTCAAGTCTTGTACCTAGTGGCTTACTTTCTCACTTTCTCACTCTGTTTCGCTTTCTCTCATAAACACACGTGTCCTATAGTGAACTAACAAAAATAATAATAAAAATAA